TTAGGGTTGGGGAAACAGACAGAATCAAACTGTATGTATTCGTGTTTAATGGTGTCTTTCACTCAGAGGACCAGGCTGGGATCCTCTCCTTTTCTATGCAATCTAGTGTTTATTCCCTTAGGGCTTCCACAGGCAACAGTGAGCCTCTTCTGCATCCCCAAGCACTAGTGTCTGCCTTCTGGTTTGTCCACACCTCTCCCAACATTCCTTACCCAGGGAAAATATGACTCACTTTAGGGCAGTCTCCAATGCAACAGAGGAACCTTGTCTCACAAACCAAGAAAAGAATAGGAGACTTTGATAAAAGTTTCCTGATCTTCATTCTACAATGACCAGTTCAAAATTCATTCATATTTAAGTTTCAGGTTTGTTGAAGGAAAAATGAGAAACTTAAAATTCAATGCAAAACCACAAGCAGAGAATAGCAAGTTTGTGATTCATAGATTTTATGAAGACATAACAATTTATTTCAGTATAAATGGTATGAAATATATAGAGAGTTATAAAGGGACAATGGTGTTCAAAGGAATTTAAGGAAAAGAAGGATATATGAGCAGGGACATGCTAAATGTTAAGATGTATTTATATTACAATATCCTCATGTTACACATCAGTCTCTACAAAGGACATTTACATAACTATTTTTCTACTTCTTTTAAAAGTTATCTTACGGTTTTACATGTAGGAGTGCTTTGTTCCTATGCAGTGCGGGTGTGTAATGCACATGGGAGACAGAAAAAAGGTGCTGAGTCTCTTGGATCTGGGGATATAGAAGGTAGTGAGGTGCCATCTGGGTGCAGGGAATCAAACCAGGTCCTCCTAAAGGGCAGCCAGCACTCTTAACCATGGACACATCTCTCCAGCCATTTTTGTTTTCCTTGTGGTCACAGAGTAAATAGTCCATTGTAGAAACTATGATCAGTGTCCAGTGCTACCCAGTACTAGGTTGCAGTGCCGGGTTATTTTATACAACTTAGTGGTGTCATTTGTTTCGATAGTATTAATTAAACTATTTACCAAGAACATGCAATATCAGCAAACTTAGTTGATGACAACACTTATTTTGGATACAACTGTGCAATTTGGGTGACATGTCTGGGTCTGAATATTTGGGACTGTTTCTCAGGCATCATGCACCACTGGCTGGAGTTTCAAGGGTCTGAAGCCTTGCTGACTCAGGTATGCCAAGGGATGCTATACTGGCTGCCAACTGGGACACCTTGGGCCTGGCTTCCCCAGAGCACACTGGTGGTGACCCAGCAGAAGGCCTCTCAGAGCCTGGCCTTAGATGTCAGTCATGCAGCAGAGCATGGTTGAAAGCCCAATAGCTTCATTAGAAGGAAACACAGTCAACCTGTTTTTAGGGAGTAGAGGATTCCACAAGAAACACTCTTGACACAAGATCTGGAAAACTCCAGCCTTGCTATACATCTAGAACCTGAGTTTCTTTGACTGGAGCACACTTGTTTTTAGGTTTCATTGTTTTATTGAGATTTGATAAACTGTGATCCTGAGAAACTGCACAAATTCTCTCCAAACACCATGAGGAGGAAATATATTGTATATTACGTACATACATATACATACATACATACATACATACATACATACATACATACATACATACATTTGAGTGCTTCTTAAGGATATTGTTCTTCCTCATCTGGAGACAAGAGGACAGTGGTTCTCCATGGAAACACTAGGAGAGCTTTGCTGACCTGTTTGCTGGCATCTCAGTGACATTTCATATAGGATGGGAGTGGGGGTAGCTGCTGAGGTGTACTTAATACAACAGGATTGGACAGGGCTTCACTCCTAACTTGGATGTCTTTGATAGGCTGTTAAGGTGAAATCAGATGTAGCTTTCCATTTATTTGACTCTCTGCCGAGCAGGTGCCCATGTCTCTGTGAAAGGTCTCCTCCTCCTGCAGAATCATGAGCCATATCAGGACTAGCAGTTGGATTTCTGGGGCTTGAGGGTGGTGGAGTAAATGAAGGAAGTTCTTCAAAGGCAGATTTCTAGATAGCTTTAGCTTTACCTAGGAGTGCTGAGGCCTGTCCCATTTTCAAGAAGAAGCAAGCCCCTTATATGTTCTGGGTGGACCTGAGTGACATCCCCATCCCGGTCTGTGCTCACTCACATGGAGACCATGTTCACTCAAAAGGGGGTGGGTATGATGTAACCAAAGGTAGCGTGATGTGTACCTCAGAGGGAGTGTTCAGTCCTTCTCAGCCCAGGACTCCACCAGCCAGATCCACAACTTGTCTCCTGACACCCCAGCTACTCAAACTTCTACTTCTGTCTCCTTAGCCCTCACAGTATGGCTTACAGGCAGGCATGCTCTTGGGGCTTTTTAGGGTCAGAGCCTAGGCCCTGACACTTCTAACAACTTAGACTTTGGCCACCCATCTTCCATGGGCCTGGTAGACAACTGGAAACAGCATGGAAATATAGGGCATGGTGGTACATGCCTTTTTTTTCCAGAATTACGTAGAGGGAGTCAGGTGGATGTCCATGAGTTTAAAGACCAGCCTGGCCTATCTACATAGTGAGTTCCCAGAAAGCCAGATACATGGAGAGACCCTGTTTCAAAAACAAAAAGAAAAAAAAAAACAGAGAAAGAGATTTAGTTCAAGTAGCCACACTGGGAAGAGTAACAAATAATGGGGTCCAGGGACTCCCCACTCTGTATTTATGGTCCTGACCTGAGAGGTAGTTTAATATGAAGCAAGAAATATGCAAAATTAAGCAGTGTTCTGATAACAGAAGTTTCTGTTTTGCCACGTCCCACAGCTCTTTAGTCCCAAATAAACACACAGAGGCTTCTATTAATTGTAAACTCTTTAACCAATTGATAAGGCGTCTTATTGACTAACTCTCTCTTAATTATTTTTTAAAGATTTTATTTATTATGTATACCACATTCTGCTTCCATGTATATCTACACACCAGAAGAGGGCACCAGATCTCATAATGGATGGTTATGAGCCACCATGTGGTTGCTGTGAATTGAACTCAGGACCTCTAGAAGAGCAGTTGGTGTGCTTAAATTCTGAACCATCACTCCAGCCCCTCTCTCTTAATTATTAACCCATTTCTATTAAAGTATGTATTCCCAGGAGGCTGTGGCTAATTGGTAATGCTCCAGCATTTTATTCATTTGATGGCTACATGGCAACTACCCCTACCAACTCTATTTCCGTGTTTCTCTGCCCAGCATTCCTAGTCTAGTAGACCTGCCTATAATCCCTGCCAGGATACTGGCCCATCAGCATTTATTCATCAACCAAGAAGAGAAACATATTCACAGCATATAGAAGGACATGCCCCATCAGTGCTGACAAAGGTTTGGTCATATCTTCCACCAAACCTCAGTCCCTGTGCTCCATTGTCTTCTGCAAGGTGATCTGACAAGTGACCAAAAGTCTATGAATCCTATAGGCAGCCAAATTTATCCACAGTCCAGCACCAGGCACCAGTCTTTTCCCTTTGCCTGCATGAAATTCCTACAGGGATTCCAATTATTTCTGTGGTGGTACATTGACCCAATCTCCTTGTGTCCAATCAGGCAGCACTGTGTTTCTTTGTAGGACCTTCACTGTTTCCAGGACAGTTATATTGCCCCTGTCTTCCTTTACACTACTGATTTTTGAGGTGAAAGGTCTGATATCTAAATCAAATAACATAAAGGTAACGCAAGCAGGAACATTGGAGGCCATGCCGGGCACAATGATCATTTCTCTATACTGCCTTGTTTTAGCTGTTCATGAAAGGACTGGCACTAGTGACTCCATTTTTGTTGGTGGTGTGGTGACAAGATCTAGCCATGAAGCACAGGCTGGCATCAACAACCTTGGTATTCTCTGCCCCAGCTTCCCCAGCACTGAATGACATCTGTGCCAGTTAGTTTTGTCAACTTGATACAGCCAAGATCATCTGGGAAGAGGGGCCCTCAACTGAGAAAACATCTCCCTCAGGTTGTCCTTTAGGCAAGTCTGCATTTTATTTTCTTGATTAATGGTTGATATTGTAGGGCTCAGCTCACTGTAGGAGGTGCCAGCTCGGGGAATGTGATCTTGGTTTACGCAGGATGTGGTTTCTTATGTTTGTGGGGGTTGCTGACTGTGGGACCAGTACTTATCCTGGGAGCATGAACTTGCTTTTTGGAGCACATTACCTATGTCTGGATAACTTTCCCAACATTGATTCGGGGGAAGGGGCTTGGTTTGGCATCAAGTTGAGGGGTGAGATAGGGTGAAGGTGGGAGGGGGAAGAAGGAAAGGGATGGGGAACTGGGGTTGATATGTAAAATGATAAAAACTAAATAAAATGAAATTAAAATTTTTAAAATTACAAACATAGAAATTTAAAAGAAAAGAAAACATCTGAGCATGTAGAGAAAGCCGTAAGCAGTGTTCTATCATGGCTGTTGCTTTTGTTTCTTGCCTTGAGTTCATGCCCTCTCATCCCACAGGATGGATTGTGATTGTGATGGGGAAAGGGAAGTCATAAAAATCCTTTTCTCCCCAAAGATGTTTGTGGTCAGTGTTTTATCACAGCAATAGAAACCTAATGAAGATAACAGGCAAAGGTCACTCTGCCCAGAGAGATTCCTTTTTATTCAGTCAACTCTTCCCTCATCTTTTAGTAATATTCCCAGTAGACATCACTGATCTACCATCTTGTTCCATCTTGTCCACCTGTCACCACTGAGGAGATCATTTCATCTGGTCTGAACCTGTGATGGGGAAGAAAGTGTCAGATGTCAAGGAGCCAGGGCCACTAAAACTCTCCAGCAAACTTTTAGCAGCTCAGACCTGCAATCAACTGGTAGACATGAGTAGAATGTACCACATGGGGAATAGACATGGAGTCACTGAACCATATAATTTAAAATGAGTAAACAAATATTTTTAATATTAAAGTATAAATAACAACCCAACAATGAAACAATAATAAAAAGAATTAAACAAAATTAAAAGTGATATGAACAGTGTAAACAACAATAAAAAGAATTAAACGAACTTAAAGGGGATGTTTTCTCTAAAGAGGGGAAGTGGAGCTGATTTGAGACAGAACTCAGCAGGGAACTCTACTACCCAACTATATGTCAACTTCAGGCAGAGGGAAAAAGGGTTCTTGGTCACCTAACTGCACAACACCAAGTACAACCATCTGCTCAACAGCTGGAACATAGGCAGCCACATCTAGAGGTGGCTGTGTATCAGCTGATGTGGGCAGAGGCTGCACTGAAGACAGAAGCTTGTCTGAAGGCAGAACCTGCACTGGTTCAACTTCTGGCACAGCTAGTTTCTCATCTTCCAGGTCCATGAGTTCAGTTTCCTCTTGTGGTTTCAGATCTCCCTGTGGCCCTGCCACAGAAGCTGCTTTCAGATCTCCCTGTGGCACTGCCACCAAAGCTGCTCTCAGAGACAGAGTCTCTCCCATCCCTGAGACATCCAGCATTGGAACTTCTGGAACTGATTCCATGAAGAGCCCACAATCTAGGACAGAAAGAGATGGAGAGTTAGTGGAGGTGTCCTAGAAGTTTCCAGGATAGGATAAGCTTCACAGAGGTGGTCTTGCTGGTCACAAACTCTGTCTGTTTATGACAGAGAATCTCACCTGACTGGCATCCAGTTCTGCTTCAAAGCCAGGGCATCTATCTAGAGAATTCCCTAGTATAACCCATCACCAAAATCACCTCTGAGCTTCACAGGCACATACCAGAGACTGCCTCATCCTTTATGGATTCCTGCTCCTCCAGCACTGATAGGAGCTCCTCAGTTTGGATAGTGACATCTGAGGAAGGCACATTCCGGCTTATGTAGTCCCCCAGCCGCTTCACTGTGGCCATATCGGGATAATCACAGAAATCCTGGGGGTGTTTTTGGAGCCACATGGACAGAAAGCTGAATATGGCTCTGCATGGGAGGAGCAGGTTGGCAGGAAGTAGAGTCAGAAGCCTGGCCTTGCTTCACCAGCACAGCAGAGGTCCCTCACATGAGGAATAAGCTGTTCAGCCCCCTCGTTGCTGGGCATAGAGGTCAGGAGTGTGGGGTTATAGACAGGGGCTCCAGACACGTTCTGTCCCTTGGAGAACAGACTGGGCAAACTGGACTGGCCTGTGTTGACGATGGATTCCCCTAGGGCCCTTTAGCTTCCCCATCCTGTGTTCCTCAGAACCAAGAAGACCATTGGGGAATCTGTTTTTCTCCACATGCAAGTGAAGTCTCTGGCAACATCCCTCTAGTGGAAATCCCAAGAGCAGGGTGACTGGTAACAGCTTAGTCCTGAACCCTAACCACCCCAAACATCCCACTGTGCAGACAGGTTCTTACCTCCCTCCTCACCCAAGCCCACTCACCTCTTTGATTCCTGATCCTCCACACAGTCAGGCCGGAAAGATCCATACCTGTGACAATCCATGAGGGTGTCACTGCTAAGGCCAAGTGTCCCAACCCACCAAGAGATCTACAGGGAGCTATTGGAATCTGGTGTAGGCTAGGAGCTTGGAAGAGCATGAGGGTGCTGAGGGCTCTATGCACTGTTCTGACTTCCATGCTGAAGGTCTGGGAATGAGCTCACAGATCTTCAAGAATCTTCATATAATGGGCAGAACCTAAGATCCTCCCTGCTAGGTTTCTCAGTTGACACAGGGCTTCTGGGGTACCCCCAGGGACTCCTATCTGGATCCGGTCATGCCATCAAACCTAGATAGTGTCTAGAACCTTAATACAAATGGGGAAAGACCCTACATGAGGCATAAGAAAGGAGAGTGTCTGACAATTCTTGGGGAGAGTGAAATGACACAATATAGAGTTGCCTCCCCCAACCCGTCTCTGGCCATGCCACTTTGAAGGGCCAGGTCCAATAACAATGACGCCAGGGTACAATCATCCTTGTCCTATGAGAGCATACAGTCCCAGAGAAGAGTAGAGCCTCCCTAAAACCAGAGCAGGAGGTTTGAGAGCCTGAATTTGCATGTAAGCACTCACATTTCCATTATCAGGTCCAGCACCTCCCAGGTGGTGGCAAACTTTGGGTAGACAGCCAAAAATATATACATGTCAATGAAGTCCTGCTTCTTAATTGCAGTTGGTATATAAGATAAGAATTTTTCCAGGTAGTCTGGGCTATGAGGATTGAACCTGGGGAGCTTGTGAAGCTTCCTTTTATTCTGAGGAAAGACCAACAATAGAAGAAGGGTTTAAAATAAAAACTCAGAGATATCACCAACACATTACTACACACTGAAGTGAAAAGCAGACATAAAGAATGTTCCTCCAGATTCTCACAGGAACACACACCCCATTAGGGACTGTTGTGGATCCAGGGGCCCCAAAAGTATTCCTGCTACAGGCTGGCCTGGGTTACCTTGGTTTGCCTGTGGAAAAATGGCCATAGATGTTGGGTAATTGGGCGCACCCAACGTCTCCAAAGGTGGCTAAGACCACGACTCTTGGCTCTTTGGTGCCCTGAACCATCATCAGAAGTCTGGAAACAGCAGAACATCCTGAATGTTCAAGCACCTCCAGAGAAGTGAGTCAGTTGAGGCTGCTGCCAGCCTCCAGTTACCTAGTAACCAGGATTCCAAGTTCCATCTGGAGAATTAAGGAAGTGAGGTCACTTCCTGGCACCCTCAGCCTGAGACTCTTCTACATATGCTTTTCTAGGGCTGATCAGGACTGGCAACTGCTCTCCCTCTGCCTTTCCATGTGTACAATGGGACACAATGGCATCTATATGCTCATGCCACACACTGACCTGGGGAGCCTGTCTTCAGCCAGATCCTCAGCTTTGAGCAGCTAGAAGTGCTTTCCAAACTATTCCCTCTATGCAACAAGCATCCCAGGAAAAAGGAATTTCTCTTGGGGGTCTTCCCACTGCCCCAACCTGCTCCTTGTAGATTATTCTAGTATTGATTTCCTAGTATGTCATCATATGGAGATGATTACAGATACCCTATACCTGGGAAAACCTCATACCACTGTCACCAGAGGTGAAGGCACAAATAGAGATAGGTGCCCACATACTCACAAAGGCACACAGAGGATCCACTTACAGATTCCCAGGAGCATGTCAGTAAAGAAAGGGTCATGCTTAGGTGGCCTTAGGGATATTTAGGATGAGGTTTGTGTTGGGGTAAGAGACAGAAGCAAACTGTATGCTCTCATGTTTAATCGTGCTTTCACTCAGAGGATAAGGCTGGGCTTCTCTCCTTTTCTATGCATTCTAGTGTTTATTTCCTTTGGGCTTCCACAGGCAACAGTGTGCTTCTTCTGCATCCCCAGGCACTAGTGTCTGCCTTCTGATTTGTAGGTGTCAACACTTCTCCCAACATTCCTTACCCCAGGGAAAATACAAACTAACTTTAGGGCAGCCTCCAATGCTACAGAGGAACCTTGTCTGCAAAAACCAAGAAAAAAAATCAGAGACATTGGTAAAAGTTTCCAAATCTTCATTCTACAATGACCAGTTCAAAATTCATTCTTATTTAAGTTTCAGGCTTGTTGAAGGAAAAATTAGAACCGTAAAATTCAATGCAAATCCACAAGGCAAAAAAAAAGTAAGTTTGTGATTCCTAGATTTTATAGAAATATAAAAATTTATATTGGTAGAGATGGCATGAAATGTCCCGCGCAATAGTCTCGCCAGCAAGAACCACACAGGACATTCGGATCCTTCTGTAGGAAAGCTTTAATGCGTCTTGAGAGGAGAGCATAAGCTTACCAGAGCGGAGACCCCGAGCCAAGAATCCCGTCCCCTAATAAAGGCTGGCAGCCGCTGCCTGGGACGTGTCACCCTATGATTGGCTTCAGCTCCTCAGGCCATATGAGCCACGGAATAGGCAGAGATCAAGGAAATGGAAAATTACCCAGCACCTGCGCAATAATTTACATTCAGTGCCTGCAGGCGCCATCATTGTAATGGAGAATGCAGGGACGGCTCCCTACAATGAAATATCTAGGTAGGTATTTTAACAGGACCAATCTTGTTTGAAGGGACTTATGGGAAGAAAAAGATATATTGGAGGGGCCATGCTCAGTGTAAAGATGTATGCATATGAGAATATCCTCATGTTACACTTTAGCATGCACAATGAACATATACATAATTAAAACCCTTTCACCTCTTTAAAAAGCTATCTTATTATTTGACATGTATTAGTACATGGGTTTCTATGCAGTGTACAGTGCCCATGGAAGCCAGAAAAGGGTGCTGAATCCCTTGAATCTGGACTTATGGATGGTTGTGAGCTGCCATGTGGGTGCTCAAAATTGAACCTGATCCTCTACAAGAGCAGCCAGCGCTCTTAACGATGGATACATCTCTCCAGCCATTTTTGTTCTTTTGTGGTCTCAGACTAGCTCATTGTAGAAACTATGATCAGCATCAAGTGCTACTCAGTAATAGATTCCAGCTTGGGTGATTTTACACAACTTGATGGTGACATTCATTTCTATCCTATTAATTAAGTTACTGTATAAAGAACATCCAATATTGCAACTTTGGTTGATGTCCACACTTATTTTGGCTACAGCTGTGTAATTTTGGTGACAAGTTGATCCAGGGATAGGTGGGGCTGTATCCCAGAATGCAGGCAGGCTTCCCACCAGCTGGGGTCTCAAGGGTCTGAAGCCTTGCTGACTAGGTCTGCCAAGGCATGCTATGCTGGCTGGGGCCTGGCTTCCCCACAACATGGTGATGGTGACCCAGCAGAAGGCCTCTCAGAGCCTGGCCTTAGATGTCAGTCATGCAGCAGGGCAGGGCTGAAAGCCCAATAACTTCTTTAGCGGGAAACACAGTCCACCTGTTCTTAGGGAGTAGAAGATTCTAGAAGAAATACTCTTGCCACCAGATTTGGAATACTCTAGCCTTACTTCTAGAACCTGAATTTCTTTGACTGGAGCCCACGATTTTAATTTTTATTGCTTTATTGAGATTTGATAAACTGTGCTCCTGAGAAACTGCACGAATTCTCTCCCTGCACCATGTAGAGGAAATACATACATACATACATACGTACGTACGTACGTGCGTGCGTGCGTGCGTGCGTGCGTGCGTGCGTGTGTGTGTGTGTGTGTGTGTGTGTGAGTGTGTGCATTTCAATGCACGTGAGCCTTTCCCCAAGGATATTGTCCTTCCTCATTTGGCAAATAGAGGACAGTGGTTCTCCGTGAAAACACAAGGAGGCTCTCCCTGATCTGTGTGAGACTTTAGCTCCCATCCTGGTCTCAGGTAACACAGAGGAGCCTGATGTGCATTTCTGAGGTATTGTTGGTGACTTCCCGACCAAGTACTCCACCACCCACACCCACAACTTGTCTCCTGACTCCCCAGCTCCTCAAAATTCTGTTCCTATCTCCCAGACATCAACCAGAGCTGTTCATAGGTTGGCTTACAGGAAGGGATAGGGATACTCCAGGGGGTTGTTAGGGTCAGAGCCTGGTCCCTGGCACCTCTAACATCCTAGACGTTGGCCACCCATCCTCCATAGGCCTGGTAGACAGCAGTGAAGAGCAGGGAAAGACTGGGCATGGTGGTACTCTTCTTTTTTCCGGCTTCAGTATGGAGAGTCAGGTGGATGTCCATGAGTTTAAAGGCCAGCCTGGCCCAACTACATAGTGAGTTCCCAGAAAGCCAGATACATGGAGAAACCCTGTTTCAAAAACAATCCAAAACAAAACACAAACAAAGAAGAGCAGAGAAAGAGATTATGATCCTCTATCTATATCCAGGGCTCAAAAACTTACCTCTAAGACTTGTTTATCCTCTTTTACTGGATTCGGTTATACAAGGATTCAGGTGCCTTTTAGGTGTGAGTGGTGTCTTAGGATTTCTAACGCTGTGAAGAGACACACAGCCACTCTTCTAAAGGAAAACATTTAATCGAGGTGGCAGTTTACATTTTCAGAGGTTCAGTCTATTATCAGTCTATCACCATCATGATGATGTGAAGGCAGACATGGTGCTAGAGAGATAGCCGAGAATTCTCCATCTTGCAGGCAACAGGAAGTGAACTGAAATTCTGGGTATGGTGTGAGCATACATGAAACCTCAAAGTCCATGACACAGTGACACACTTCCTCCCACAAGGCCACATCTACTCCATCAAGGCTACAACTCCTAAAAGCGCCACTTCCTTTGGGGGCTGTTTTCTTTCAAACCACCACATTCCACTCCCTGGCTCCCTAAGGCTTGTAGCCATATCATAGTGCAAAAATGCATTCATTCCAACTTCAAAAGTCCCCATAGTCTACCAGAGTCCCAGGCCTATTTACAAGTCTATAGTTCAAAGTCTCTTCTGAGACTCATGCAACCTCTTAACTGCAATCCCCTGTAAAATCAAAATCAAAAAGCAGATCACACACTTCCATCATATAATAGGCACAGGATATACATTACCATTCAAACACGTAGGGAAAGGAACATAGTGAGGAAATTCTGGACAAAGGCAAGACCAAAAACCAGCTGGGCAAAGTCCTAACTCTGCATCTCCATGTCTGATGTCAAAACCCTCTTCAGATCTCCTTTTCCATTCAGCTTTGTTGACTCTAGCACACTTCATTCTCTTGGACTCATTCTACTTCCTGTTAGCATCTCTCCTCAGCAGGTATCCCACAGCTCTGGCATCTCTAACATCTTAGGGGCTCCAAGGAAATCTAGTCTTCACCTTTAGAGCTTCATGCAATGGCCTCACTAGGCCTCCATTCAGGGACACCCTGATATATGCCTGGCCTCAGCGGCTTTCCCTAAATTCCATAGCCCCTTTCTTCTACCCTTAACTCCAGAACCACGTGGTCAAAACTGCTGCCTGCTGGGGCTGGAACATGGGCCCCTCATCTAATTACATCTTCACCAGCTTTGTTTTCTATGGTTTCCTTCACTGCCTAAGCTTGGCTGTTCTGTAATTTGCTCTGTAGACCAGGCTGGCCTCAAATTCAGAGATGCACATGTCTCTGCCTCCAGAGTACTGGGATTAAAGGCATGCACACACCTGGCTGAAAGTTTTTCTTTTAATTCCTTTTCAAAAGTTGGAAACTTAGTTGGGTGGCATCTTGCCCTGAGGTTACCACTCCCTTTATCTCCTTGAACACAAAACAATACTCCATTCCACTTTCTGGTGTTCCTTTTCTCCTCAAATATATCTCCTTGCTCAGTTTTGTAGCAGCATCTAGCCTTGCCAGTGTATTTGTGTTAGTAGCCACACACCTTTGGGCGTGGATTCAGCTGTGGATGGAATTGGAATGAAGGAAGCTTGGGGCAGTCTCTATCTCACTCTCCCTCTCTTGGGTCATGGATCAGATCAGAAGGGCAGAGAAAGGCTGCAGCGGTTCTTTATTATCTGTGTAAGTTGTTCCCCAACGAAACACCCATTTATCATTTATCTTGGGTCTAGTGAACTCATTACAACCCCGCCTTCACAGTTTGCTCCTTTTCACAATATATCTTCAATAGAATTAACACTAGTAACCACACAATGGAGTCTACACTAGGCTGTTTTGAGATTTCCTCTGCCAAGGGAATTAATCCAAAACACTTCACTTTATATTCAGGCAAATTTTTTGGACAAAGCCAAAAACAGCCAGTCTTCACCAAAATATCATAAGAACAATTTCTGGGCAACATACTAAAATTCTTCTCCTCTCAGAAACCTCTTGAGTCAGCCCCCTACAGTTCAAA